TGGGCGAGGGGAGGGGTCTGGCGCCTCCCCCAACCCCGAGGTCTGTCCCCTCGCGCGCTCCCCCCGGGGGGGGGTCTGGACACGCAGGGATTAGGGCGCCTAGGGGCAGTGTGCTCCGTGGGGTCCGGAGACCTTAGGCCCGACTTGTGGGACCTCCCGGTGCTCCTTCCCCGCGGGGGGCACGCGTGTGTTTGTGCCCCGGCTTCACCGCCGCTGTCCGGGCCACCTACTGTGTGCTCGCCCCGCACGCCCCTGGCACGAAGGGCCGCGCGCAGAGCGTGTCTCGGAGACGCGGGACCCGACTCCCCAACTTTTGCTAACTACCCAGCCCCGTGTGGTACTCCTGCCTCATTCCATCTCCAAGGAGCCTCCGGGTCCCCCCACCCCATTATCACTATCAACCCTACCCCCTTCCCTCTTCACCCCAGCCTCACTAGCCCGAAGCCTGAACGGACTCGCGGGCCACCGGACAGGAAGGAAAAGCCCAGATGTTTCGGGCAGCCCCCGTGCCCACCGAAAATTCTGCAGACAACCGGGGCAAAAAGGACCCTCGCCGGCTTTTCTTGGGCAAGGGACTTCCATCCAGGCCATCAGCCCTTCCCCCCCTCCACCAATCCCCCCCTTTCCCCCTAACAAGAACTGACGCTCCTGCACTAGACAAGAGCTGGAGCCTTGTGTCACCTGAGGGGGGAGGGCGGGGAGAAGGGTTGGATATCATGGCGAAGGCAAGGACTGGTGGTCTAAGTCGTTCTCAGTCTCTCACCTCATTGAGTTTCTGGAAATCCTGAGCCACAACTTTGCTTCTGTGGGAACTGTCTGAGCTGGTAGGAGTGTCACGACCAGTATTTCTGGAACAACTAGAGCCATGGATGTCCTACCCTGTTGCTGCCTTCGCCCACAGTCTCCTCCCCACTGGTCCTCCATGCCCCTTGGCTTGGGCTGGAAGAGCTGGAGGAGCCCCAGGAAGCTACTAGGTCACAGGAAGGCAGGCAATACAGCCCGTGTGTCCACCTTGTCCTCCTCCTGAACACTGACCAGTTGATAGAAAGGAAAAGAGTTTGGGGGCTTGTCTCTCTTCATTCCTCTTCAGAAAAAAAAAAAAAAAGACGCCTTGACTGAACCCGCCTGCTTCCCTCTCCTTAGTCTGGTCATTTGCCTCTGGCCCACACAGACCTGCAGGCAAGGGCGACATCTTAACTAGCTAAGGTGTTGCAGTTTGTGGCATAGAGTTGGATAGAGTTGCTTTGCAGTTATTTGCATGAATGAATGAATGAATGAATGAATGATGAAGAAATTGGCTGAGCATTTAGACTTCAGTCCCTGATTAACATCCACAGGGAAACCCCCTTCCCTTCCCACCAGCCGATAGTAAGTCTAAACAACATTTCTTGAGCGCTTCTATGTGTTAAAGGTTTGCGAGGTGCTGTCTCCTTTCAACCCCACTGAGAAGTGGATTCTTTAAGAGGAAATAGGGCAGGTGGGCTTCAGTGACCGCAGCCTAGACACGCCTGTTCTTTCACTGGGCTCTGTCTAGAGGTCTGTCCCATGACGTCTTGTCTGCCTTTCCGCATTGCTCCATGCTGGCAAAGATGTCTGTTCAGTCTTTACCTCATGCCATGAACATAGCAGGCCTTCAAAAATATTTATCTTTGTATGTATTTGAATGGATGGATGGATGGAGAAATGCAAACAAGAGAATGGACACTTCCTGAAAGGGAAAGTCCTCCCCAACATGGACACCACCACCCTCTGGAAATAAGTCTGAGGAGCAGAATAGGGACCAGGGACCAGGAGAGAGGCCAAGGCAGCCATCCTGTCTAGTAGCATACACAGGGTCTAGAGTGGGGGGTGAGGGTGGGGTGATTCAGAGCAACCTTTCACCTGGCTTCTGGAGCCCCCAGAAGGTTCGAATGATCTTGGACTGAATCTTAATCCTCTTCACAAGCCTTCTTCTCCCCCCCCACCCCCATCCTAAGACCTAAAGGGTCCGAGTGCAGTTTTGGTACCCCTCCTAACCCATGCCACAGGTTTGTGAGGGACCAAATTCCTTTACATTCTGAAATTCCCACGAGCTGGATCTTCACTAACAGTTGGTTTCCACTTCACCCTGTTCCCCAAAGTCCGTGTCTCTGGGGAACGGGGACGGATGGGTCGCCCCTGCAGTGGCAGCAGGCGCTGGGTTCGGGCGGGAGTAGGCTGCGTGACTGACAGATGCAAATGTTCCGCTCGGGCCCCCGCGGGCTGCTCCGGCCTCCCTCCCTCCCCGGCTCGCTCGCCGGCCGGCCAGCTCCCTCGCTCCTTTATCTTATCAAAGCCCCGTAATTACAATTGCTATTTTGTTTCCTCGAATCTGCAATCAGAGCTCCCGGGCCCAGATGAGGGAGTGCCTGTCAACCTGATCGCTGAGTGACAGCCGGGCCACCTTTCCCCGCCACCCTCCCCACACACTGCGCAAACACACACACACACACACACACACACTCCCTCACCTACAAACACAAACACACTTGTCGCCAACACAAACGGTTTCCCTCCGCGCACACGCCCTCGCTGAAACCCAAACGCACCGCTGGGCCCCGCAACCTGTCCCAGGCCCCTCCAAGCCAGCCCAGCGGCGGCCGGCCACCTCGACTGCCCCTCGCTGCGACGCGCGCCTCCCGCACCCGGCGTTCAAAGCGCCGCTGACCGCAGACAGTTCAAATGCAAATCGCCGAGACAGCGCTTCGCGCCTCGCACCCCGTCTGAGAGGGACCCCCCCCCATGCGAGGAGCCCCCCTCCTCCGTCTCGAAACGCCGGCGTGCACCTTCATCTCGGAGGCCCTCGTGTGAGTCGGCAGCTCTCCTACTGTGTGCTGAAGGTGCAGAAAAGGGATCTAGGAAAGGTGAGATCCGGGAAGGAGTGAAAACAATTCCCAGGTCTGTGCACCGGGCGCCACATGGGGCCTGGCAACTCCGAGACGGAGGGAGGCTGATGTGGATTGGGCCCCCACTGCGGGCAGGAACGCGCTCGCAGCCCGCCAGCCCGCGCCGGGACGACCAGCGGCAAAACAGGGGAGAAATACAATGGACCATCAGCTGCGTCCTAGGGGGTCGCTTTCGGGGCGGGGCCACGAGCTGGAGGGGGGCAGACGGCTGGTCCTGGAAGGCTGCCCGGAAAGGTGAGTGGGTGCCTCCAACTGAGCACGCGTCGGAGGCTCGGAGGCTGCCACCAGGAGGAACCAAGGGGATGCCGTCGCCCAACTCCTTTCTCCAGCACAAGTCCTTCCAATGAATAAATGAGCGATTGTAGGCATGCTTACCAGCCTCAGTGACTGACACCCTAGCTCTGGGCCTAACATTCCGCTGTCGGGACAACTTCGCAAGCCCACAAGCCTTTGGACAGGCTGCTTAGGGAACAGAACCGCCACCAGAGGGCGTCGTCCCCGCTCCTTTTGCTCTCCATCCGTGTGAATGGCTCCAAACCAGACAAGCTGGTGGTGGTAGAATTTTGGAAAAGTTCTCTTGGGGTAGAGAGGCAACCTGTGACCTCGATCATCCAACACAGAGAGGAGGGCATCTTCTTTTGCCCTCAAAAAGAAATTCAGTTGATCACTGGATCCCCTAACACACTGCCAAGGTAGGGAGTAATCTCTTTGTGAAGAGAAGGGACTGCTTTTCCATATTGTGGGAGAAACTTGAAGTCACCCTCACCTACCCCAAGACCAGCCCTTTCTTATCTAGGGGGCCCTCTCTCATGCCCACTCACGGGGCAGCTGATTGGCCTGACCCCCCTGCTCTGTTCTCTGTCCATCCTCAGCCTGTCTGGCCCCAGGCTGTCTGGAGAGGTAACTCTTTGTTTGTTTGTTTGTGGGGCACTGACCCCCCCCCACACACACAGCTGCTGAACTGCTGACCCCAGAGCTGGACACATGCACACTCCTTCCCACTGTGTACAGGTTGAACACCTATCAGGGGGCCTCAGAACCACCTGACTCCAGGGACCCTCAACTCCCCAACACCAGGCAGTGTGCTAGGGAGCAGGAACCTTTAGCCCAGGAGGCTGATTCCCAAGGGCCTCTTTCTGTCCCCATATGCCAGGCCACCCGGATTCTGGTTTCCTTGTCACCCAATCTGGCCAATTCCCTCCATCTGGCCCTGGGAATCAGGTTTCTAGAGTTCAGCCCTGCTCAACCTGCCTGAAAGACTGGAGGAGCAAAGACTGGTCCCCACCCCACCGCTCACAGGCCTTCTCTCTGGGTCTGAGCCCCCTCATGGGGCTAAGGATGCACATTCCTCAGGCTTCTTAAGCCCGCTTATCTGCCCCCCTGCCCATCAGGCTGAGTGCTGACAGAGGCCCAGACCCCTTGTTTGGAAGCTGATAACCTCCTGTGATGGCCCTCCCCCACCTGGAGGGACACTGAAGAGCTGGACTGGGAGCCACCCCCACACCCCTTTCAGCAAAGCCGTTGAGTCTTAGGCCTGGTCCTGGCCTAGGACCTACATTTCTTTCACCTTCCCCCAGGTCCAGGGCCATCCTTTGTGCTGTCACAGTGCCACCTGGTGGTCCCTAGGGAAATATTCCAGCATGGGGAAAAAGCCACACAAAACAAGTTGCAAAACCCCATCAGTACTTTATTTAAACATTTATCTAAAAATGTAAAAAGTTTAAAAATATGTCGTTCTTGTCTTCAAATACTGACTTCCAATGCTCGTGAGGAGTGGAGAGCTAGGCAAGGTGTGGGACAAGGCCCTATGGAGATTGTGGAGATTGCCCACTCTTCCACCCAAATCCTGACCTACACTCTCCTCTGCGATGAAGAAGAAACATTTACAGTTCTTCACACTTGTCCAGGAATGTGGTGTGTAGCACATGTAGCCGGTAGATACTTGACCTGAGAAGAGCAAAAAAGAAGAGGTTAGCATCTAGAACCTCAAGTGTTCCTTCTGCCCCGCTCTTAATCCTGCTAGGTACCTCTCCCTTCAACTCACCAAAGGGAGCTAGGGCCTGCCCTTCTGCTTTTTGGCAGGAAGGATAGGGGACAACTCAGCTTCCTCCTCTTCATCTTCCTCTTCACTCTCATCATCTTCAGAAACATCATTGCTTATAGTAACTAGTGGACCCAAAAGCATAGAGGGGGAAGTTAAAGCACCCCCCTCCCCCTTCCACACACACACAGGTCACACATGCCCTGTGATGCTAAGTTGACAGGGACCCCTGACTTGCCTATAGTTTATGGTCCAGGGGTCCCCTTCCACACACACACAGGTCACACATGCCCTGTGATGCTAAGTTGACAGGGACCCCTGACTTGCCTATAGTTTATGGTCCAGGTGGGAAGAGACTCAAGATACTAAACTGGGGGAGAAAGAGCCAGAGGAGTCCACATCACCGGAGTTGGGAGGAACTGAGGCAGGTTGCTCAGGGAGGGAGGCTTAGATGGAACAGAGTAGAAGCCACATCACTTCCCAGGCACAGCTAGAAAGACATGCAGGACTGGACAGGGCTCCAGTGGGAGATGCGGCTGGGATGGAATAGGATTGTGGAACTGGGGGGAAGGCCTGATGAAGAATCCACTAAAGGCAAAAGAGAGAGATCACCCCTCTTCTCACCAATCTGGTGCCGACCAGTAATCCGTACAGGGCCAGAGCCTGACTTCAGCCGGAAAGTCACAGGTGGTTGAAGCTGAAAGTCATCCAGACTGAGCTGGGAGAAGGACAAGAATGAAGTCTTGGCCCACTTGATCAAGCGATGGGTACAGCAGTCCTCAGCTTCCCGCCCTACCCCAAAGATGCTTGGGGAACTCACCATGGGCTGGCAGGACAACTTGAGATTGGCCACAGGTACTGCAATCTCCTGGTGGTCATGGTTCCGGGCCACAATTTCCACCACGTTACACTCGTCCTTGGCCCCCTCGGTGAGGCAGAGCTGGGAATGGTATATACAAGGCTTTAGGGTTTCCTCAGGAAGGCCAGACCACAAGGAAAGCCTCCTCCCTTAGAACCTCCCCAGCCTCCGAGGTTAGGGAGAGATCACGCGAAAGCTATGGGAAGGGCCGCTGTAGCTGCCCTGTGGCCGTCCATGCATCGCCAAGTGCCCTCCTGTCCCTCACCATAGTTAATGCCAACACGTGCTCTGCATCATCCTCCTTTTCTACTTTGAAGGTGAACGAGCGAGTGTGGCCCGAGAGCTCACAGCCTGGAAGAGAGGAGGGTGGGCGTGAGGGGTGGGCGGGCGGGGAGGGGCTTCGCCGACACCCCGAGCTCCTCCCCTGTGCGCAGGCGGCGACGCGCCGGCCTCGCTGGTCCCTTGACACCAGCAACGCTCGGCCTGGCGACCCCAGGAATGGGGGCTCCGGGCAGGGGCGCCCGGCCCCCTTGGCTCCGGCGGCCATGCAGGGGTTTCTCTGCACCCGGAACCAGGAGCCCCCCGCTCCGCACACACGTGGTGCAAACCTTCGCGCTCTTCGTCATCCCTAACCGCCCACCGCCCCAGAACCAGCCACAGCCCCTCCTTCCCCCAGTACCGAAGAAGAAACTGTCCATGGTGACCGGGGCCGGGCTCCGCTGACCCCTGACACCCCCGGCCCGGACTCGGCTCTCCGGGCTCAGGAACGTTAAAGCAGCAGCAGCACCGGCGGCCATGCTGTAAGGAGTCTGCAGGCCACGCCCCGACACGTCCGGAACGCGGCGCCCCGGCCAGTTCCGGCCACGCCCATTAAAGGAGCCGCTCAACCCCTCGGGAGGCGCCCTGGACGGTGCCGGCCTTGTGCTAGCATTTGTGGCAAGTTTCAGAGAAATGGTTTAGTACCACAACCCCTACCCACATCCACCTGAGTGTCTTAATGGCCCTAGCGACTAGCTATCCAGGTGGCAGGATATGGTAGCAATACACCCTGGGAGCTTACATGTGGATTCACCTAAGCTCCTAGCTACTCTCACACTTGGTTTTTGCCAGTCCTGGGGACTACTCAGGGCCTGAGTACTGTCCCTGAGCAAAAGCGCAAGGCCAGCACTCTATGTAAGCCACAGTGTCTCTTCTGGCTTTTTCTGCTTATGTGGCACTTTGGAATCGAACCCAGGGCTTACACCACTAAGCCACATTTCCTAGCCCTACTCCCCCCCCCCCACTTTTGAATAACTCCCCATCAGCCCAGAACATTCCACTAGGCTACTTTTTCCATCCCACCATCTTATCCCTTTTGCTTGTACAAGCTGTACAACCCTTAACCTACATATAGCAGAAACTTGGTAACTGCGGTTGCATGCCTACCACAATTTTAGATGACTTAGCTGACAACTAGTCTTAATTTGTCTGAGCTTTTGCCTTTTAAGTTCTTTAGTGGAAATGGGAGGAGGGCTGCCTTTAATATCCAGTCTCTACTTGGAACAGCTTCGGGGAGGACAAACCCTGTTTGTAGGCGGGGCATAAGAAGGTAGGCAGCAGACAGTAAGTAACAGACACAGTATGCTACCACACAGGTTCACTTCAAGTTTTATTTTGCTTCTTGCATGATCATCAGATAATTTTACAGCTCATTATCTACAGGAACTGAGTTGTGATCTAAACAATGAAATGTCATTCCAACCGTAATAAATATTCGTAACCATGGAAGATAGCATAGCACTTTACAATCCAAGAGTGATGAGTACAGACCTGTTTCACAGTTAAGATGTGTGACCAATCAAGCAAAATGATTATTAAAAGCCAAGATAAAAATCAAAAGCAACTTGTATAAAAACCCTGATTCCATAAGAGGGTGACTGAAATCCTCCAGATAAAATGCTGTCAACTGTTCTCTACTGCTTGAGATGTATTCAAAGAAAACCAAGTAACATTTACTGGTCTTAAACAACACCTAGTAGGGATCTTCAGCCCTCAAAAATGCAAACTTATTTTCAACTTCCCAATGCACTACATCCTCCAATAGGTCAAGATTTTTACCCTAAAAACAAGAGGCTCCATCCTCCCCCCCTCACTCATTCAATACACCTTTTAGATTATGTTTAAGACTTAACGCCCAAAATGGTGAAACTGTATGAAGGAAAATTAAGTTTTCTGGTTTGACTCCCTCATGTCAGCTGATATAAAACTGCAGGGAACAAAATACAGTTAAGAATCTAGGAAAAATCCAGTCATGATGAAAAAAGTAAATTCTGCAGATTACCGGCCAGCCTCATGCTCAGAACCCTTAAAAACACCAAGCTAAATTAAAATACATGAAGCTTTCAAAATCTGTGATTAAAGGAATAATGGTAACCATAAATCATTGATTAGTGTACTCATTTCTTCATTTAAAAAATTAGATACAAACATGCAAGAATTAAAGACCATCAGTTAAACCAGTACTAACTGACATCAAATGACAGCTGATCAAAGGGCAAATGAGACCACCCAGTCCCCTTTACCCTCCCGACAAAGATGTCAAAACTAACATTTCACATGCTGATCTGTTAATTTTCAGAAGTAAATCCACTTTGCAACAGATCAGCATCCTATGAAGTTAGGCTCTCATACCCAAAATGGTCATGGCCTAGCCCTATATGGGAGGCACTTAAAAAAAAAATAAAGCTTATTAGCAGAATAAAAAAGATAAAATCTACCTTCCACTGATTATTATTCAAAGTGCCATCCTAAACCAATACCTTTCAATCTTGAAAGGAAAAAAGTATTTCAAAACAGTAAACAGAAAAGATAGACTACAACTTATATACAAATAAATCTATACGTTTGTTGGTTTTAGGCTTTCGCCACAAACAACTGCACATTTGTCCCTACAAAGCACATGCTTGAACCAATGGTTATTACTACAGAAAGATAATTGGCCATGACTTATAAAACAAAACAAAAAAAAGAGTACCTGCCCCAAACTAAAAATTTAATGCCACAACCATCTTACTTGGAAAATCCACCCTGAAGCCTTGAAACCTACTAAGTCTTTCTCAGCACTGCCATGTCTCTAAAGAATGACAAAGTGATTCTGATTACTGTTAGGTGAGAAATGCAACCACACTGGATGCACAGAGTAGTGCTGACTACATTTATTGAAGACCCTTTTCCCTATATAAGCCCATGTAAGAGGTCCTGGCACCTAACAAGACACAAGACCCAAAAGAGGGCCCAACATCCATTTCACACAGGATTTGTGCAATACTATCTTCTTCCAACCAGTGAGTAGTCTGAAAGTGTGTAATTTTCTTTGTTTCCAATTCAATTGGCTGATTTGTTGACACTCAGGAAGATGAACTGTTATGATGACCCCAACACCAATCACAAGGTGGAGGTGAAAGACTTTTGAACAGCTTCCAGTGCTGACAAATGTCACAGGCTACGGCCAAGTATAACCACATCCTTTGGAAAGCCTTCCATTTTTGCAATTTCAAAACAGCCCAACTTGCTGTAAAATTCAAGGATTCTTTTATCATCTGGTCTCACTTCACAGAAAGCCCCCCGGGAACCTAGAAATGAAGCAAATGTTTACAAGGTAAACAAGTAAATGTAAACAAATGAGGTAAATGACATCTTTGTTTAACACATCACAAGTATCATTTTAGGGCCTCAAGACAGAGCCTATTCCAGCCTATGTCAAAAGCCAAGGTAGACTGGGTGCTGGTGGCTCAGGCTTGTAATCCTAGCTACTCAGGAGGCTGAGGTCTGAGGATCGTGGGTCAAAGCCAGCCCAGGCAGAAAAGTCCATGAGACTCTCATCTCCAATAAACCACCAGAAAACAGGAAGTGGTGCTGTGGTTGAGCGTTCACCTTGAGCAGAAGAGCTCAGGGACAGCACCCAGGCCCAGGGTTCAAGCTCCACAACTGAAAAAAAAAAAAAAAAAAAACCAGCCAATGCAAATAGAATGATGTATATTCTATGAATCTCTCTCTTTTCTGTGAATCCAAGTACAACAACTGAGGATTTTCATTAAATAAATTTACATTAACTAAATTGGATGCTCCACAGAAGAGGACACCATTGACTAAAATGGCATGTAAGTGCCAACAGTAAGAAAAGTAGGGCTGGGAAAGTGGCTTATTAGTAGAGTGCTTGCCTTGCATGCATGAGGCCCTGGGTTTCATTCCTCAGCACCACACAAGCAGAAAAGGCCTGAAGTGGCACTGTGGCTCAAGTGGTAGAGCGCTAGAAGAGCTGAGGGAGAGTACCCATGACCAACAACAACAAAAAGAAAGAAAAAGAAAAGTATACTTTCATATGCCAAAACTTTCTAAATTAAAGAGTTTGACAAACTACTCATTTTTTGTATGGCCCAAGGGTTCTGGGGTTTTTGTTTGTCACGGGTCTTGAACTCAGGGCCTGGGCACTGCGTCTCTGTGCTTTCACTCAAGGCTAGCACACTACACCACTTTAAGCCATAGCTCTAGTTCTGGTTTTCTGGTGGTTAATTGGAGATGAAGAGTCTCACAGATTTTCCTGCCCAGGCTGTCCTTGAACCATGATCCTCAGATCTCAGTCTCTTGAGTAGCTGGGATTACAGGCATGAGCCACCAGTGCCTGGTAGTTCCGAGGTTTTTATTTTGTTTTGAGAATTGTAACCTGTAGCCTCAAACGCTCCAGCCTCTTTAAGACCACTTAGTGCTGAGTACAGTCATGTACTATCATGCCTAACCTTAAGTTGTTTTTCTCTTTTATATTAGAGTTGTTAAAAAAAAAGAATATTCAACAGATTATTATGTATGTAATCTTAAAACTAAAGTCATTTTTTGTTTTGTTTTGTGTTCTTTTTGTTGGTCGTGTGGCTTGAACTCTGGGCCTAGGTGCTGTCCCTCAGCTCTTCAGCTCAAGGCAAGTGTTCTACCACTTGAGCCACAGTACCACTTCTGGTTTTCTGGTGGCTAATTGGAGATAAGAGTCTCACAAAGCTGGGCACTGGTGACTCACACCTGTAATCCTAGCTACTAAAGAGGTTAAGATCTGAGGGTGAAGGTCCAAAGCCAGCCCAGGCAGGAAAAGCTGTGAAACTCTTATTTCCAATAAACCACCAGAAAAAAAAAAAAAAAGGAAGTGGCACAGTGGCTCAAATGGTAGAGCACTAGCCTTGAGCTGAAGAGCTGAGGGACAGTGTCCAGGTCCAAGGTTCAAGTCCCATGACTGACAAAAAAAAAAGGAGTCTAACATCAATTGAGATAACTGTGTAACTTTTGTCCTCAATCCTATTTATTGCTCTATTACATTTATTGTTAATGTAAGAAAAGAAATTTCAAGTTGGTGGTACGACTACATGAGTTGTAGTTCAAGGTTCATACACATTTGCTTACATTCAAACAGTATAATTAATGGATCTTGAATAAATAAAGGCGAAAGGAATGCTGAGCCAAAATGGCTTTACTGTAGTTTTTTTTTTTTTTTTTTGGGGGGGGGTCCGGTCATGGGGCCTGAACTCTGGGCCTGGGCGCTGTCCCTCAGCTCTTCAGCTCAATGCGCTCTACCACTTGAGCCACAGCGCCACTTCCGGCTTTTTTTCTTTTTTTTTGCTTATGTGGTGCTGAGGAATCGAACCCAGGGCCTCAGACATGCAAGGCAAGAGCTCTACCAGTGAGCCATCTTCCCAGCCCCTTTACTGTAGTTTTTAAACTTGATTGTTCATATGTTGGGTCTGTTGATTTAAAAGATACTTTCCAATCTATGACTTTTTCCTCACTAAAAACATTAAAAATTTAAAACCAATTATTAAAAAAAAAAAAAAAAAAGAGTCTCATAGACTTTCCTTGCCCACACTGGCTTTGAATTGTGATCCTCAGATCTCAGCCTCTTGAGTAGCTAGGATTAGAGGCGTGAGTCAACGGCGCCCGGCTAAGTTCACTTAATTTATGACTACTTATTTATAGACCTTCTGGCCCATAAATTAAGGTAAGTGGTTTTGGTATAAAGAATAGCACTTTTCAGTGACTGCATGAAAGCAGCATGTGCCTGTAGTCCCAGCTACTTGGGAGGAGAAGTACAGAAGATTGCTTGAGGCCACCAGTTTGGCACCAGATGGGCAATATGGTAATATCCTGTCACACTCATAAAGGGAGTGGGCAAGAGAAAAAGTGACAATTCGCTTCCTTTCTTTTTTTATTCTGAAATACTTCTCTGCCCAAATTATGCTAAGTCCACAAAAACATACTCACCATTAGCCTTTAGTGAAGATAGGAGACAAGCCATCATGCTTTTGGCCACACTTGGGTCAGTTACTTTTTTGTGAATATCCATCTTTATCAAAGAAGGAAAGTTGGCAAGGAAAGTTTCTGGCAATACTTCCTGTTCTTCATGGAAACTCAACATTATTTTCTGTAAAAGTTAGAATCTTTTGACTCAACAATTACTTATGTATCTATATCCAAGAACTCAAATCAACGGGAAACTGAAAGCAGCATTAATTATTACCTAAGTGTAGCACAGGGAATATTATATAACTAAAATATTTCCAGCTTTAAAAAGTTTATCTAGGCAGCTGTAGAATTGTAGATATAGCTCAATAGCAAAATACTTAGATACTGGGTTTAATCTTTAGTGCCATATACATACATAAAAGAGAACTGAGGTGCTTTGTTACAGGGAGGATGAAGAATTTTAGAAAAGAGGAAGAACACAAATAATAGAAAAAGAAAAAGGATAATGTCAAAATATACACTGAAAAATACTTATTGAGCATAAAAATCCACAAGGAACTTTTTTTTTGGTCAGTTGTGGGGCTTGAACTCTGGGCCTGGGCACTGTCCCACATAAACAGAAAAAGCCAGAAGTGGCACTGTGGCTCAACTGGTTCTAGGATGGTAGCCTTGAGCTGAACAGCTGAGGGACAGCGCCACAAAACTGACCAAAAAAAAAAAGACGATGACAACGAGGACGACAACGACTGGGGACCAGAGATGGATGTAACTATAGCTCATCGGTAAGAGACTTGCCTACTGTGCTTGAGTCAGGTCAATTCCGAGCACTGCAACAACAACAACAAAGTTCTAAAAATTATTTTCTGTAAGAAATTAACTTAGAAAGCCCTGGGGCTTTGCTAGGAGTGTAGCTCAGTGGTAGAAAACCTGCTTATTAGCATGAACAAGGTCCTATTGTTTAATCACTAGCAGTGCAAAAATAAATAGAAAGCCAGTAAAGAAAGCACACACACACATACACACATTTGCACTCAGGACTGATAGTCTACCACTTGAATCACATCTGTACTTCCAACTTTCTACTGGTTAATTGGGGACAAGAGTCTTCCACCAGATTTTTCTGCCCAGCTGGCTCTAAACTCCAATTGTTACATAGTAAGCTCCTAACCTTCTAAGTATTTAGGATTAAAAGTGTGAGCCACTGGCACCTGGCTTACTTTTTATATTTTAATAATCATTTTATGAAAACAAGTAAAATAAACTGTTAACCATAGTGTAATTCTAAACCAGTGTATTACCTCAGCCTCTGAGAGCTCTTTATCACCATTTGGCTTGGTGTATTTCTCCTGCATGAAGGGAATCCAGGAAATTTTACATTTTTTAATAAAGGGGGTCACATCTACAGTGCCCAAGGCATAACCACATATGCCATCTTCATCTTCCAGGACAAAACAGTAATCCAGACTTAGGGAAAGCAGCCCGCCTACTAACCTGCTCAGAAGGAAAGAGGCTAGAATAAGCTTATAAATTACTAACACGAAATTCAGAATTCAGTGATACAAGGCTCAATGTACTTCAATGGTGACATGCAAACTACGTTTGGTATAAAAGAAATTGGAAATAAACACATTTCTAGATTTTAATAAAGATAACATTTCTAGATTTTAATAAAGATAACCTGGGGCTAAAGAAAAAGCATTTCTTTTCAGTTATCCCCTCCCCAACCTGATAAACCTGGCTATGAAATGTCTACTCCCCAAGTCCAAATAAACATCACATACTTGTCTCCAATGAGGTCAGGCTGACTTTGAAAAGGTAAACCCACTCCATCATCATACATTTCTCTGCAAATCTTGTATACGGAAGCCTGAAAATATAATCTAGTTAGGCAACACATCAAGAAAAATGACAACGTAGTCTATCAATGACTTTTTAAGAAGTCAGGGACAGGGTGGTATAAGCCTTTAATCCCAGCACTCAGCAGGCTGAGGCAGGTTGGAGAATTAAGACCAGCCTGGCTACATAGTGAGTCTGCTCGCCCACAAAAAAAACAAACAAAAAAGAGGTATAGGTCAGTCTTAGGAGGAAATGACAAAGTATCTGACCTGTCGCCAACATTACTTATGTTTTATTAAAGAATCTGTTGGGCTGAGGTTGTAGATCAGTGGCAAGAATACTTGCTTTAGCATGCTCAAGGCCCCGAGTTCATTCTCCAGAATAACCAAGACAAAAAGCAAAAAAGATATTCACTGAGTCCTTTGTGGAAAATAGCATGGATTTAATCAACACTGAAAATTATTTCATAGGGTATTGTTTTTAGTAGTTAAGGTGTGGATTGAAAATCCAGCAAACTTACGAGTTTGAAAGTCTCTCAACTTCACTTTTTAAGACAGGATCTCATTATGTAATCCAGACTGTGCTCAGCCTTCTGAGTGCTGAGGACTCTAGGCAAAGTCTCTCAACTTTACTTAAGAATCATTAGACAATGTTTTAAAGCTGTTACTGTCTTTAATCAGGCTTTTCTTTTTTCTTTATTTGGCCACACTGGGGGTTGAACTTAGGACCTCACGCTTGCTAGGCAGGTACTGTACCGCTGAGTCACCAGCCAGGATTGCTTTCCTTTATAGCCAACTGTCAATAGTCTGTAAGTATTAATAGAAAATTACAGAATTTAGACACAGTATTTTGTAATTACAACTCTAAGTTCATTTTTTTTTTGTTGTTGTTGTTGTTTTTTGCTGGTCATAGGGCCTGAACTCTGGGTCTGGGCGCTGTCCATCAGTTCCGATCCACAGTGCCACTTTCCGCTTTTTCTGTGTGGTGCGGAGGAATAGAACCCAGGGCCTCATGTATGGAAGGCAAGCACTCTACCACTGAGCCACCTTCCCAGGCCCTGACTTATTTTTATCAGTATTGGGTTTTTCTTTATCTTTATGCTGGCACTGGAGCTTAAACTCAA